TTAAAAATCTTTCAAAAAACCCAAGTTTTCTGAGCAGGAGAAGTGAGGATGACTGGATTCTAATCTGTTTCATTCTTCAACCACCCAAGATGGTGTGATAGATACTTTAAAGTTCACATGTAAGGGTGAGGTTTGAAATAAGATAATATTGCTACCAGTGAATTCTTCAGCTCCTTACCAGTGATTTGATAGCCGATTATAGTTATAAACTCGGGGGCTAGCTCTTAATCGGCTAAAGTAGATGAACAGTCAACCCAAGTAAGTCATCAAAGCCAAGTATTGCAATCGACTAAAGCATGAAAATTCATACTCCAAACTAGGGGGCCTGTGTTTACACCAAAATTTGGTCGGCTAGAAAATATTATATTTTAGGAGAAGCATGATGTCCAAAGTCTCCTCACGTGAAGATAAGGTAGACAGAAGGAAGCTTTATTAGCGTATTCTACAAAAGGGGAAACTAGAGTCCATGTATCTTAAAATTTCATTTTCTTTTAGATTTATCTTGTTAGGCAAGTTTTATACTAGATCACCACGTGACCAACTAGGATTGTTTCAAGCCTCAGGGTATAAATATAAACCCCGACTATTGTAATAAAAAATATCTCAATCAATCAAAACAATCTTTGCCTTTTCAGCTTCACGCCAACCCTTAGGAGTAGGAGTAATGTACATCTCGGTGAGTTCTTCAACAAGCAGGGCTGCCATCGGTTAAGTTTGACCTCTAGCTTGTCTTTAAGTACCGCCACAACTTATATTGTTGCTTGTAAGGTTGCATCAGCTGATTGACCTCTTGCAAGTCATAGTATAAGTTAGTTATTAATCCTTATCTAGTTCAAGAACGGCTGCCATCGGTTAAGCTCGACCTCTCGAATTAGATTATGGTCAAGTTACCGGCTCTACCTAAGGGTGGTATCCTTTGGGTAGATTCATTAAGTTACCGATCTTGCTGATGTTCTTATTGTCATTAGTTTCAGCAATATCAAACTGTCCGATCGAGATCGATCTAGATCAGCCTTACATCATTTTAGTCCATCGTTTATTTTGCTATATTATGATAATTTTTACTTTAAATGATGGATTATGTTTTATCGATCGTTCTACTTCGATCTTGATCGTGCATAGTACGCGACCAAGGCATGTCTGATCTTGAGTAGGTTTACTAGCTAGCTGAATCTGGTCTATAGCTCGCTATTATGGCTGTAACGATCCGTTCGATCCCCACTGTTAGCACTTTAGATCAGAGTATGATAGTCGGTAGATTTGCTTTCGGCCAGACATGACCTTGGCTATTTGCTATGTCTGCATCGGCTAAATAGCCGATTGCCTGCACTTTAACACTCATAGTATGTTTTCATAATTTTGTTAAATGTGAATAGATCTATTTACTTTCGAGGTTTAATCTGTTATCTTTATTATGGCTGTCATCGATCCGGTCGAACCCCGCTGTTAAAGATAATACGCTACATTTGATGAGTTTATAAATCTATTCATATTAAATAGTCTATTGTTCACATGTTATGCCTCTATCTTCTCTGTATCGGCTATTTAGCCGATTGCTTGAGCTTATCATGGTTATCTGTTTCTTAGTCATCTGCCATTTATGTTCGTTATTTATATTTATGAATTAGCCGATTTCATGATTGTTTTCATCTGTTAAATTACCGATCATGCTCATTAATATTATTGGCTCGATACTTTATATCGATAATGCTCTGTTTAGCCGGTAATGTTTATTTATCGCTTTATTATCGGATATCGACTCTGTAGTCGATGTCCATATCAATCGGTTGTCTTATCTCTGTTCCAATCAAACATAGTATGTATCCAAAGACATATTTCAATCTTGAACAAACTCACTAGTTAGTGAGATCCAATCTAATGACACTACCATAACTGCATCGATCCGGTCGAACCTCACTGGTAAGACTTTAGATTAGAGATCATCAATTAGTGATTTTGTTTATATTCAAGATATGTACTCTGTTTGTTTGCTATGCATGTATCGGCTATTTTAGCCGATTTGCCTGTTCCTTCACACATATAGCATGTTTTTTTATGAACCTGTCAATATACAGATGGTTTTATGGATTCTTTGGCTTTAGTTTGCTATTATTATCATAGTTGTATCGATCCGGTCGAACCTCACTGGTGATGGTAACATATTAGATTCAGAGCGTTTGTATATTCATTTGTACCAGACAGTCGATTTATTCGCATGTTATATCCTTTCTCGTTAAACTTATCGGCTCAATGCTTTACACTGGTTATGTCCATTTAGCCGATGATGTTTTCTGATGTTCCATGAGCATCGTTTATTTCGATTCGTATCATTATCGTTTAATATTAGCCGATAATCCTTGATTCAAAGGTCTTCGTTCCATGAATACGCTGGATATCGACTATTTAGTCGATAGCCCCATTGAATCAAATATTTGGCCACATATTGGAACTGTTTGGTGCAACATCGACACGTTCTACCTTAAACTATTGATTATTCTCTCCTTGTCAATTGCAGGGTCAAATTGACCGCACGCCTTCGGTCTCAAAACCGAGCGATCCTGTGTTTGAAGTCAAGCGGATCTTCGGGCTCACTCCGTCAAGATCATCCGGCTTGCTATGTGTTGATCACATCACCACATTTTATGTCAACAATATGTGGCCGGTTCAGCCAAACCAGCCGGTGATGTCATGATGATGTCATCACAACTTCATAACTTTTGTTTTGCTTATGAAAACAAATTCGCAAATACAGGTCAAAATACATTTATGAACAGTCATATATGTCATGTAGGACCGCTTACAGCAGTGTCTATCGTCTTCGCCGCTCTTTCAATCAAATGGCTTTTAGCTTTCTCACGATACCCTTTTTAATCCACAGCTCATAAATAACTTTTTCACGGCTCACAGCTCAAGCAAAAACATCGGCATGCAATCAGGACCTGCTAAGGGCACATACAATGGAGCTCTTTAAGCTGTCTGCGTCCGAGAAAATTTGCAAAAGCGTCCCTCTCGGGAGTAGCAGAAGGGATAGGATCGTCGTCTCGTGAGACATCGACTTTAGCCATGCTCCGAGAAATTAACTACGGCCCTGTTCGCTTGTTGGTTTTAGCCATGGTTTATTAGTTATAGTATAGTATTTTTCTCTCACAATAAACCAGCACCGGCTAGACTTGTCTGTTTAAAAACCAATCAGCGAACAGGCTGTACATGTGAACGGATCTCGTGTGGACGTTGTCTATTCTCCGTCCTCTGTTTGTCTACGCGATAGAAGAGAAATCTGAAGTGGGCAAAATGATGCGAGGCACGGTGGCGGCGAGGACTGTCCCGACCGGCCATACCGGCCGTTCTGAGAGTATGTGAGTTCGTGATCTAATTCACAAGGAGCTGATGGCAAAAATAGGACAAAATAAAGGGTCGTAGGTAAACAAAATGCAATGAAATATTTCCCAAAGAATAGTGAAAGTTGATTACAAGATTTACATAGACTTCACGGCTTCCAAGTGTTATGTTAGCTTGTTGTCTTTTCCCAAAGAATGTACAAATTGACTGAAACTTCTAAAATTCATATAAAATCAAATTTCAATCCAAAAATCATAATTCAAAATTTGTTAGGTTCCTTTCGACCAGAACTTTACCTAAAAGTGATACAATATATGTTACGCCTTGAAGGCTCTTTGCATATTTTATTTTGTGGAACCATTTGTATTTTAAAAAAAATGTTTAGCTCAATAAAAATTGTAAAAACTACGTAACCTGCTCGTATCAGTATGACACTACGGAAAAATATATTCATGTTTGATTATGTTGCCGGAATTACTATTCTAAAAAGTATTACAATCATATTCAACTTAATTATACTTGATTTTGCATCAACTAGAACGTATAAATGGATCAGATTCATATTTAATTGTGGCTAAATGCAAGCATTAAATATTTATAGACAGTTAAATATACAGCTCCCTGTACGAGCTATCCATCTACATGCCCAAAGACCGCCGGTTCACGCACAGTGACCTCTGGGTTACTATTACTCCTACTACCTGGTGAACACGCGCCAGTAGGCCAAGAAGGCGACGCCTCTATCATCGTTAATGCGAAGACATGACGGCAATTTGCCATGTCCAACCTAGAGCACCAATTCTGTCCGATCGAGGACAGCTGCTGCGTGTGTGTGCGCTCAAGTGCGGTGATCTCTCCCGAATCGGAGGCGAAAGTACGAACACGTTGACACGCCGCCCCGACGCCATTTAGGCCCCGTTTAGATCAAAATTTTTTGGATTTTGGTTACTGTATCACTTTCGTTTGTATTTGGTAATTAGTGTTTAATTATGGACTAATTAGGTTCAAAAGTTTCGTCTCACGATTTCTCACCCAACTGTGTAATTTTTTTAAATCACATTTAAGATTACACGATACGCCGCAAGATTCGATCTCTCCGAGAGAGCTTCAATCGGAGGCGAAAGTACGAACACGTTGACACGCCGCCCCATACGCCATAAATCGAAATAATATTTTTCACCCGCTGCTGCCCAAAATTTGGGCCTTACCACCTCCGCGCCCGTACGCCTCCTCCGTCCTCCCTCGCCGTCCCAGTCAACCGCATTCAATACCGCCAGGCCACGGCCGCAGTCAATGCACTGCTCCTGCTCGCGTCCGCGTGTTCCCCGTCTCCACGCGTCCGTCCGGTCAGCTCCAGCCGCACCGGCACCACCCCCTCCGCACGCGCGGGCCGCACCGAGCAGGCGTCCAATCGGTCGCCCACGCGCACCAAGCTCCCCCACCGAATCGGTGAACTCCACAGTCCATAGCAGTCTGGCTCGTCACTCGCAGCGGCTGCCTGCCTGGCCTACAAGCGCAAGCGGACAAGCGCCACGGGCAAGCCAAGCCAGTTCACGAGCCCGGCCAAGAACCCAAGCAGGCAAGTCCAAGCCAAAACCGCCCTTCTTCTCCTCCTCCTCGTGCTCCGCCTGACTCCTCGCGCCAATTCCGGGGAACAGGCCATGCCGGGAGATGGGGGAGCAACTGGAAGGGCGATGTGGGTTTGCGCGGTTCTTGCGGCGTTCCCATTTCTAGCGGCGGCGGCGGAGGCGGAGGCGGCGGGGAGGTACCGCGCGGTGTTCAATTTCGGGGACTCGCTGGTGGACGCCGGCAACCTGGTCACGGAGGGCATCCCGGACTACCTCGCCACCGCGCGCCTGCCCTACGGCCAGACCTACTTCGGCTACCCCACCGGCAGATGCTCCGACGGCCTCCTCGTTGTCGATTTCATCGGTAAATTTCGCCAATTCTTGGCTTCTCTAACATTTCGCGTGCGTGCGTTCTTGGGAGGTGCATCTGTTCGGAATTCGATGGGTTTTGGCCCTCTGCTCCTGCAGCGCAAGAATTCGGCCTCCCGCTGCTGCCGCCGTCCAAGGCCAAGAACGCCAGCTTCGCGCAGGGCGCCAACTTCGCCATCACCGGCGCCACCGCGCTCGACACCGACTTCTTCCAGAAGCGGGGGCTCGGAAAGACCGTCTGGAACTCCGGCTCCCTCTTCACACAAATCCAGTGGCTGCGTGACCTCAAGCCATCGCTCTGCAGCTCCGCGCAAGGTACACCCAAGAATGCAAATTTCACCGGTTCTTTACGTTCTTATTAAAGTAAAATTTTCATTTCGTTTCGTGAACGTTAGTGCCTAGTTTTGACGCTGCTCTACTTTTTGTCCCCCCTTTCCTTGGTTCTGAAGAATGCAAGGAATTCTTCGCCAAGTGCCTGTTTATCGTAGGTGAATTCGGTGGAAATGACTACAACGCCCCGCTGTTTGCCGGCAAGGACCTCAAGGAGGCATACAAGCTGATGCCTCATGTGATTCAAGGCATCTCCGATGGAGTTGAAGTAAGAATTGTGTCTTCGCTTCGCTGCTACTTGGCGTGCTTACCGTGGATTGTTCTCTAATTCCTTGTATGTGCCCTGGCCTGCCCTGCCTGCAGCAATTGATTGCCGAGGGGGCAAAGGATTTGATTGTGCCCGGAGTGATGCCTTCAGGGTGCTTTCCAGTCTACTTGACCATGTACACTGACCCAAAGGAAGGGCATGGCTCGCGCACCGGCTGCCTTAAGCGATTCAACACATTCTCTTGGGTGCACAACGCAATGCTCAAGCGCGCGCTGGAGAAGCTCCGAGAGAAGCACCCTGGTGTGAGGATCATCTATGGCGATTACTTCACGCCAATCATCCAATTCATACTTCAGCCCAAGAAATTTGGTGAGCTCCTCAGTTTTCTATCTGCGTTACCATTATAGCCATAGCAATCTGATATTGCTAAGAATAATCTTTTTATCGGAGACAGGTCTAATGTTGCCTAACATAGTTTTAATTCAACTTCACAGCAGAGTCAAACTGTCACCCTTGCATTCTAGTGAGATGCAATAGAATTCAGATCATACTTTATAGTATACGAAGGACAAATATGGGAATCAACTTGTTATCTTGTAGCATCTCTTATCCTATTCCAGCACGACTAGTTATTACGGCTGGAGTTATGATACAAACTGTATGTTTGAACTGCCTGTTCTTATTTACTACACGGAACAAAAGGCCATCTTGAAACAAAACATATACGGAAAGGTTTATGTTGCTTGTGTACCATTTGCAAGAGCATCTTAAACTGATTGTCGAAAAACTAAAGAGCTGTAAAGATATAGACGTATTTTTGAAGTGTGAGGTACATGTACTGGTGAATTGGTAGTTTCAACTGGAAAAGAATGGTAACAATTGAACTCTGTTAATTGCAAAAAATTGGTGCTAGTTAACCATGGGCCTTTGTTTTCTCTCTTGCTTTCTGGACATGTTGAAAAACATCTTCTCTTGGAGTCATTATCACAAGAAGTACAAACGCTAGAAACATCTGCGACCAATATATATTTTTTTGTATCTTAGTTTGTTTCACATGTCTTGTTTATTCCAACTCTGTTAACCAACCATTGAGGCATTGCAACTTGGAGGACCCCTTTTCCCCAGAAACTTTTTAGCAACATTCTGATGAAATGAAATAGAAAAGCATTGGACTGTATAGCTGAGACATCTGTGTCAGAAGGAGAATCTTCCATCCTTATGCATTGTTTTTTTCCTGGACATCAAGAGATGGGTACAAATTCTTCCATCCTTATCATCTGCGCATGCTGGGTGCAAGAGCTGCGTGGCCATCCTTTATTTTCTGTCTGTCATAGAGTTTGAGTGGCCAGGAGATAACAAGATATACAATTCTGCATTTGGGACCAGGATATGTATTTACATCAAGCGACTGACATGATTATTTCCCAAGTGAACTAAGTAACCTAAAAGTTTTGCCCTCCATGCAGGATTTTACAAACAATCACCAAGAGCATGCTGTGGCGCTCCTGGGGGCCCTTACAACTTCAATCTAACAGCAAAGTGTGGTGAGCCTGGTGCTTCGGCGTGTGCTGATCCTAAGACGCACTGGAGCTGGGATGGTATTCACTTGACAGAAGCCGCATATCGACACATTGCCAGAGGCTGGCTTCATGGACCATTCGGAGACCAGCCTATTGTACAATCATCTTGAGTACAGCCAGCCGCTCCTCCTGTTGTACCTCTACTAGAGTGTACCAAAACAGCACACCATGACACCAAACTGGATCCGATAAGGTAGTAGTTGCATGTATATCTCGTTCCATTGCCAGTCAGGTAAAGAGCTGAGATAGGGGCTATTAATTAAAGCATGATTTCTTCATTCATGGTGGTGGTATAAGTACAAAGTGTAATGCACAAAACAGTTCATATGATACAGGTATCATTCCCATGTTGTCCATGATGACTCCCAGTTAGAAATTCACTCTGGTGGTTAGCTCCAACTTCTGTCTGAATATATATACTCTGGAGCCTTATCCGCTTTGTACACATGCATGATTCGTGCGGAATCTTCTGATCTGTCAGAAAATAAAATTGCCTGCGACTTGTATGGGGGCTGTGTGCATGCTGGCCGTCCAGTTGAAAGTTGAAATCTGAACATGATCTGTATGGTCTCTTTATTATATTCCATGCTTGCTTGCCATATGTTGGAACAGCTCACAGCTCGAAGTGAGTTGGGGAGACAAGAAGCTTCAATTGCAGACTACCGTGGTCCGTGGATCCCACTCTTTTGCTTGTTGATTAGTTGCACTAAAGTTTGTCTTATACGACACCGTACTGGTGATACCCTGACAGTTTACAATTTGCTTAACACAATGCATGCGAGTTGTGCTATATGCCTATATCCTGCTAGTTGCTATAGTAACGCTAAGTCTCCGACATTTATAGTTAAATTTGATTGCTATATTTTTAATAAAAAATACAAAATCCTAATAACAACAACAGTCTTTTTGTTTTCACGGATTAATGATAATAATTCCGTAAGTTTGATTTGGCATTTTCTAATGTACTCCTAAGTATATAACTGTAGCCGGTGAGTTGGCCGAAGAAGACCAAAATACCCGGACAGAGTAGGTATATAGCAACTCGCTCGAAGAATGTATTACTGTTGCGGCAGAGATTATACAACATGAGATGTGACAGCATTAATATTTGTATCGCTATTTGAGAAGATATCGGTGGTAGACTGGCAGTGCATGCCAGCTGTAACAGGACATCAAGAGCGACTGAATTTGGAATTCCAAGGTTTCCTTTGTGCAAAGGCAAGTACATGATTGTGCGGTTTCTTTTCTGCTTTGCGCCGCATTCAGGGTAAAAAGAAAAAGAAAGATACTTCCTCTCTGTCCTAAAATAAATCAACTTATAAAGTCATCTTAAATCAAACATTCTATATTTAACAGAATTTATCAAAAAAAGGTACCAATATTTGTGACACCGAATTTGTATTATAGATGCATCATGCAATACATTTTTATAGAATACTTGTTTGATGCCATACGTGTTAGGGTTCTTTTCTATAAAGTTGATCAAATTCAAAATATTTTGACTTAGAACAACTCTAAAAGTTGATTTATTTTGGAATAAAGAGAGTATTTGTATTCTTTAAAGCATCATCCCAGATGCTTTTTAATGGCTCTAGAAAAAGTCAGGGTCCTATGTTTTTTTTAAAAAACACACTTAGGCAACATGATTCTACGCCATCCATTTTTTTTTCAAAGTTGATACAAATATTTTAATCAAGACGGCAAAAAAAAAAGGCTAAATTAAAGGAGTTATTCCTCACCTTGTGGATGGTAGATTATTGTCGAGTTTGCAATATACAAATGATAGAATCATATGACCATGATTTGGAGCAAGATAAAAATATGAAATTATATCGCTCAATGTTTTTGAAAGATTAATTTTCAAAAGAGTGATTTTTTTGTTGTTGTTGTCGTGGTGATGCTAAGCATTGCGAGCATTATAATATATACTCAAATCTTTGCCTATGAAATTGGGTTATGTCAAATCTTGCATTTAGGAATTTCTATGCACCATCGGAAACTCCACAATGCGGATGGCGTGTAATCTAGCAATGATTCAAAAGTAAACAGAGTAATTGGAAGGCGAAAGATATGTCACACGGGGTCGGCTGGTGTTACTGAATTAAATCCTTATAAGCCTACCCATACTCAGTAAGGTGTTCTACTGGTCATGATCCTTTTGAGGTAGTAATGATAAGCAAAAATGATGTCTTTGAAAGTGAGGGCATAGTGTGCCATCGAAAATATCAAGGTGGTTTGGGTATGCTGACCTCTTAAATAAAAATAAGCGCCTAATTAGTAAACGTTTTATTAAATTACTTGATTATGAAGAAGGAACCTGGCCTACTTTATTCAAACGTAAATATTTGAGTTCGAAATGTTTTAGCGTATGTCCATATTTTTTCTCTCTAACAACACGGGAAAACCTGATGATTTACATTTGTAAAAAGATCTCAGGTGCCTAATTTACGGATGATTTTCAGGCAACACTCTTGTACTACCAATTAATACAAGTAAATTATCATTTTTTTATTTATCTTTGTGTCATAACATATCAAAAATTTGTCTTTGTCTAATTAAAATTGAGGCACATGAAATTTAGCAAATCCCTCTGTAGAAAAGATGAATTAAAGGCTAGGGAGAAGACATCTGGATGGGATATAATTTTGAACTCACATCGCCAGCGACCACACGTCATGCACCTCTTCCCTGGCAATGTCGCGTCGGCACCCACTCAGGCAATGCCCCTTCCTCCTCTTTCGCCGAGCGTCGTACTGTGTGCTGCCTCCTCTCGGCACCAGCGGTCGCCGCCAAGCGCCGCACCCGCACGCTGCCCTCCCCTCCGGCCTCCATCGCGGGTGGACGCGCCATGCCCCCACGCCGGCAACGGCAAGCTCCCCTGCCTCCCCACTGCGTCTACCGTGTATGTATGATATGATCGGAGGCCACGAAAAGAGAATGTGGAAAGAGGCGATCGAAGCAAGTGACGGGAGCAAAGAAAGACATGGGCGAGGAGACGAGGTGGGCTCCTACTGAGGGTGGAACGGCTACCATCAGCTCTCGCCAGAGTTGCCAGTATCGTCGTGCTTCTCTCTCTCTCTCCTTGTTTCTCCTTTTCCACGTAGGATGAAAAATGGATGTGGAGCCCTTGTAGAGAGCAAAGCATGGCTCTGTTGGGGACTTGTGGTGTGCCTTATCGTTTCGCTCCTGCCTCCCGCTCCCGGGCAAACCCCCTGTCCATGGCCAGGTCTGGTCTGATCGAGCTCGTGCAATTGCTTCTTGCTTGGGAAATCGGGGACGTGCGTGAGAGGAGGATGTGGATTGAGATGTATAGCTGCGCCCGCGCGCGGCTACGCGATCGGGAACGCAGCCGCCGAACGTGAAACGGGATCAGGATCCGAGTCGGAATCGAATCGACCCGTCCGTACCGCCGTACGTCGGTTGCCGGTCGGTACGCGCTTGGGGTCGGGTGAGTGAGTCCGCGAAGGAACCCATTGCAGTTGTGCTGTCCGACTCCTTCCGCTTCCGCATGTCCGACGCCAATAAGCACAAGTTTGTTTTATTTTTCCAATTGCTCGGTCGGTGTTTCAACCGGATGTCATCCGTGGCGAGTTTGAAGCCTGTAAACCCATGTCCTACAATTAAGGATGAAAACGGTCGAACTCGGTCGAAAAACTCCTCAACCATTTTCTATTTTTACATTTGAAATACGAAAACGAAAGCGAAAGCGGACAAGCCGGACACGAAAACAAACACGAACTTACGGAATATCTAGAATTTCGGAAACGAACCAATTCGAGCGGAATTATGTCGAACACGGTCGGTATGCGAAAATTTAATACGAAATACCGACCCACAGTGCATAGCATTCGACCAAATACATAACAAGTTCACAACTAACAAGTGCATGATCTAGTCCAAGTGCATAGCATTAAACAAGTGCACGACCAAATACATAATAAGAGAGATAAGGCTGGGCGCCGTCTATAAGAGAGGGCAGCTAGCCACAAGTAGAAAGAACACAGTTGCGTGGTGAGCAGCCTGTAATTGGGCTGTATGACCTATGCAGTTGGTCAAATTTTGAATTCGGAATATTTCAAATTAAAAGTAGAAAAGTAGAAAACGGTCGAAAAATGTGTAAACCGTTTTCTACTTTTATATTTGAAATACGAAACATCTCAAATACGAAAGCGAAAACGGTAAAGTCGGACAAGAAAATGTGGATTCGATCGGATTAAATATAGAAAATAATACGATTCGGTTCGAGATATTTATGTTCCGTTTTCATCCTTGCCTACGATGACCTGACCTTGATGATCTCGATGATATTCTCGATTGATTCGCCTGTTCCTTCTTCCGGCCAAATCAATAGCGACGCCGGGTTGGAGGTCTTGACTCTTGAGCAACATCCCACTTCACTGCCCCCAAGCTAACAAATCCATTTTCGATATTCCTCTATCAACATCGTTCGCTACAAGTCTATATAGCAGTGACGGAGCTAAAAGCTCGAGTATAAATTCATATTATACAAAAAAAAATACCTAGCAAATAATTTAGTGATACAAAGAAATTTTCATTTTTCATTTAACTTCACCGACGAGCTTGGCCAACCGCCTGGGGTGGCCAGGTGGTGGCTCCACCACTGACCTATAGAGTTATTGTATCACTGCGCCGCATTGCCGCGGCACACACCATCTAGGGAGTGGCCACCGCGTCACCCATTTCTTTACCCTTGGATACTCCTCGATCTCAAAACCCCCCTTCCTTGTTGATTGCAGCTGGAGACAAGCGAATAAGCTTGTGTTCATACCAATCAAGACGTCAACTGCCTTATTGCAAACTTGTACGCCCTCAAGCTAAAGGGCGGGTGTGCTCAAAAGACACACTCTCTCTCTATATATCTATCTATCTATCTATCTATCTATCTATATAGATATATATTGGCCCCGTTCGCTTCGCCGAAAAAACAAACCGAAACACTGTTCCGACTGATTTATTGTGAGAGAAAAACACTGTTTCAGCTAAAAAACAAACTGAAAAAACGAATTATAAGAAAAACGAATAGGGCCTATGAGTAAAATCCATTTTCGAACCTTGAACTTATACGATAGCCGATTTTCAATCTTACCTA